AGTCACGCTGTGGGGGTGGCATATGTGCCGTCCACTCAATATGTAGGAGCTGTGAGAGGCTAGAACATGCCCAATACAATTGGAATCTTCAGAGAATTTAGCTGCCAAACTTTAACAAGTCTGTATTGAGCATAGGCTAACCAAGATTTTTCAGAGGCTCATAACTTGACCAAATTAGATCAAATTTTCACGAACATGGTAAAACACAATTCTGACAGCAGGGCTATTCCCCTGCCAAATTTCAAGTCCCTGCTCCAAACCATGGAGACACTAGAGCATCTCAGTTAAACATCTGTAAGAATATTTGAGAACACTTCAATCTCCCTGGACACTCAATAACAGACTTAAAAGTGGCAATTCTTCAACAAAAAAACTTCAAAAACAGATTCCAATGAGAAACTGCAGTATTGGAATTAATTTGCAAACTGACACCATCAAATTAGGCCTGAATAAAGACTGGGTGTGGATGGGTCACTATAAAATCTAATTTTCCCCTGCTGATACTTACACCTTCTTGTCAACTGTTTGAAATGAGCCACCTTGGTTACATTGGCCACATTAGAATTCACCCCTTCTTGTCAACTGTTGAGAATAGCCCACTTCCACCTTAATTGAATTGGTTCGTTAGCACTGCCCCCTCCCCCAAGGCATCTTTTTGTGTGCTGTGTATTTATACCTGCCTCTGTATTTTTCACTCCATGCATCTGGTGAAGTAGGTTTTAGCCCACGAAAGCTTATGCCCAAATACATTTCTTAGTCTCTAAGGTGCCACAAGGACTCCTCGTTTTTGCTGATACAGACTAACACGGCTACCACTTTGGGGAAAAAAAACATGTTTCCCTAACCTTGTTCTCAAAAAGAGCTGAACCATTTTAGCTGAAACTTAAAAACAAAAAACAAAAAAAACAGCATGAGGCAGACACAATGTGAGAAATTTCACCCCAAATGATTATATTTAGTGTGATATAGTTTTAAATTCAACATTTTCTCTAACCTCTCTCACAGTGCCTTAGTATAAGTGCAAATGCTGTGTAAAATGTCCTACTTATTTGGAAATCGATATGGATTTCATTGATGAGTTAAGGATAGTCTTCCAGCCTGAATTGCTGGCTTATTTCTATTTAAGGTACCTAGTTTTTATATATTACTTGTTTCTTGTGGAGGTGGGAACTCTGTGCATGACCTTCTCCAAACCTGCTGTTAACGATGCTCTATTAATTATTTGCCAGTGATGCAGGAAGCAGCTGCTCCCCATGGAAGTCAAAGGCATCACCTCTGTAATAACCTTGCCTACATTTGTCCAGACAGAAGTCCTAACCCTAGGTCTGCTTCATGGTTCAGTCCAGTTCCAGGGTTGTATTTAGTTTAGCTGATGCAATGTACCATGCTCTAATTTATTGAGAGCTGTGTAGTGGCTTCCTGTCCAAACCTAGCAATCAGAGCTGTTTTCTGACTGAAAAGCTCTTTCTGTGCTGATCAGAGAGGTTTTCACTTTGCCCTTTCTTTTGCAGTGATTATGCTTCCCTTGTCTCTTGTTCCTCACTCTCCGCCTGAGACAGACACCACAGTGCCTTTTACTGATGCACACGTTTTGAGTGATTTTAAGCACCTTTATGTTGTATGCAAGTCAATGCTCTAAATCCATTTTAGCACTCGCTAATTTGGCAATAATGGTAGTCTCCAGAATGGCAATTAATGAACAAAAGAAGGTTGCACTTCGTGACCTAGCAACCAGGTTTCCCTTAAACTGGGTTTCTGTCTTTTCATTTTTTTTTAACCTCATGTCAAAGTCCCAGGAAATGGCAGTGTAAATTGCTTTGTGTAGACTCTTATGATGATTCGACATTTGGTGCCAATGCTTAGCTTTTCCCATTTCTTTTTAAGATTTCACTAATTGCATTTTTTTTATTTCTCAGCTCTTATTTTTTACAAAAAAAATGGACATTTAAAATGACTGAGACTTTTTCGAGAATTGCTGAAATAACAGCATAGTATCAATATTTCTGGTTTTCTTGTGATCCTAGAATCTCTTCAATAGGGACAGTCAGTGAAATTGTATGTGATAGTCTCTTGTTCAGATGTCATCCAGCTACTTGTGGTGGTAACACCTATCGACACGGTTTTATATATTGTGCCTTTTAATATGGCTTACTCTGAAGCCTTGGAGTACATAAGCTGCTTTTATTTTCTACCTTTATTGGTTCTATTTCCTGGCTTGTCATATACAAATTAAGTAAAAACCAAAATACTATTTCAAATTGAGTCATATCCTACATTTCCCTCCGGATTAGTGTATCTCAGAACTCTCACTTTCTTTTTAGCTTTCCCGCCTCTTGAAACCTGTTTTTGTAAGTGAAAAATCTTGGTGAATTGCAGTGTGGCACAGCAATTATATTAACAGTAGCCTCCCCCAAAAATTCAGTCAGCCATGAGATGGATGTGTTCATAGACAGAAGATATCTACTAGGAATCTACTTGCTTTCTCCTGAAAAGGAAAGAGGCAGCATCCCTGGGCAAATAAGTTTATATTTTGTTTGTTTTGCTAGAAATGTTTATGCTTTGTTTCTGAAAACCATTATGAGTGTATTGATAGCATAGCACAGCGTTCAGCTTATGTGACTTGAAGTGAAGGCTTTGGATAAAGACCTTGTAGGAGATCTGGAGATCTATTCTCACAAGAAATTTGTTTGCAAATATCTACCACCCATGCAATCTGAGCCATTCCAAAAGCCAAAAGTTTGTTTTTCATAAATATTTCTGTGAGCTCTAAGGATACGTCATTTCTAACAGCAATGTCCTGAATTGGGGTGTTTGCTGTCGGCAGGGCCGGCTCCAGGCACCAGTGCAGGAAGCAGGTGCTTGGGGCGGCCAATGGAAAGGGGTGGCATGACCGGGTCTTCAGTGGCAATTCAGCGGCGGGTCCCTCGGTCCCTCTCGGAGGGAAGGACCGGCCACCGAATTGCCTCCAAAGAATGAAGCGGCGCGGTAGAGCTGCCGCCGATCGCGGTTTTTGTTTTTCTTCTTCTTCTTCGCCTCTTGGGGCGTCAAAAAAGCTGGAGCCGGCCCTGGCTGTCGGTACAGGAATCATTGCAAACCTCACCTTAAGTTTGGTCAGAGGGGAGCTCCAGAACAGCACTAGTAAAATGTCTCCTCTGTAAAGACACAAATCTTAGCTAGAATCTCTATAGAACTTTGTTTATCTTGATGTTGTTAAAATTAATTCCATTGATTGCATTGTATTTTAAAGCCACTGAGTAATGGATGTGTACAGTTAAACATGTATAATTGTTAGGGCAGTCGATTAAACGCAGTTAACTCATGCGATTAACTCAAAAAAAATTAATCACGATTAATCGCAGTTTTAATCGCACTGTTAGATAATAGAATCCCAATTGAAATTTATTAAATATATTTGGATGTTTTTCAACATTTTCAAATATATTGACTTCAGTTACAACACAGAATACGAAGTATACAGTGTTCACTTCATTTTTCGTTACAAATATATGCACTGTAAAAATGATAGACAAAAGAAATAGTATTTTTCAATTCACCTCATACAAGTACCATAGTGCAATCTATTTATCGTGGAAGTGTAACTTACAAATGTAGATATTTCTTTTGTTACATAACTGCACTCAAAAACAAAACAGTGTAAAACTTTAGAGCCTACAAGTCCACTCAGTCCTACTTCTTGTTCAGCCAATTGCTAAGACAAACAAGTTCATTTACATTTACGGGAGATAATGCTGCCCTCTTCTTATTTACAGTGACACCTGAAAGTGAGAACAGATGTTCACATGGCACTGTTGTAGCTGGCATTGGAAGGTATTTACATGCCAGATATGCTAAACATTCGTATGCCCCTTCATGCTTTGGCCACCATTCTAGAGGACATGCTTCCATGCGGATGTCGCTCGTTAAAAAAAAGAATGCTTTAATTCAATTTGTGACTGATCTCCTTGTGGGAGAATTGTATACCTCCTTCTCTGTTTTACCCGTATTCTGCCATATATTTCATGTTATAGCAGTCTCGGATGATGATCCAGCACGTTGTTCATTTTAAGAACACTTTCACTGCAGATTTGACAAAACGCAAAGAAGGTACCAATGTGAGATTTCTAAGGATAGATACAGTACTTGACCCAAGGTTTAAGAATCTGAAGTGCCTTCCAAAATCTGAGAGGGACGAGATGTGGAGCATGCTTTCAGATATCTTAAAAGAGCAATACTCGGATGCAGAAACTACAGAACCCGAACCACCAAAAAGGAAAATCAGTCTTCTGCTGGTGGCATCTGACTCAGATGATGAAAATAAACATGAATTGGTCTGCACTGTTTTGAATAGTTATTGAGCAGAACCTGTCATCAGCATGAACGAATGTCCTCTAGAATGGTGGTTGCAGCATGAAGAGACTTATGAATCTTTAGCGCATATGGCATGTAACTATCTTGTGAACACTGGCTATGACAGTCCCATGCGACACCTATTCTCACTTTCAGGTGACATTGTAAACAAGAAGCAGGCAGTATTATCTCCTGAAAATGTAAACAAACTTCTTTGTCTGAGCAATTGGCTGAACAAGTAGTAGGACTGAGTGGACTTGTAGGCGCTAAAGTTTTACAGTGTTTAATTTTTGAATTAAGGCTTTTTGTACATAATTGTACATTAGTAAGTTCAACTTTCATGATAGAGATTGCAGTACAGTACTTGTAATGGGGGAATTGAAAAATACTGTTTCTTTTGTTTTCAAAAATAAATATAAAGTGAGCACTGTACATTTTGTATTGTGTTGTAATTAAAATCAATATATTTAAAAATATAGAAAACGTCCAAAAATATTTAAATAAATGGTATTCTATTATTGTTTAACAGTGCAATTAATTAATGTTTTAATCGCACAGTTAATTGATTAAATTTTTAATTGATTGACTGCCCTAATTGTATTGCTTTTATTTCTATGTACTTTAAATGTAAACATTAAGTTTTCCTTCCCCAGAATCTCCTGGCAAAGATTTTGGTCCCACTCTGGGCTTAAAAAAGTCCAGCTCCCTGGAGAGCTTGCAGACGGCTGTGGCTGAAGTCAGGAAGAATGAACTTCCTTTCCACAGACCCAGGCCTCACATGGTCCGTGGTCGGGGCTGTAACGAGAGCTTCAGAGCTGCCATTGACAAATCTTATGATGGACCTGAAGATGCAGAAGAGGGTATGCTGTTTCATGTACTTATTTGGGAAGCTTTCACCAGTTAGTACAGACTAAGGCTCCATTCAGCAAAGCATTCAAAGGAGGTGCTTAAATCCAGTTGAAGGCATTGTGCATAAGTGTTCTGCTGAATTAGGGCCAAATTACTGTGTATGCTGTCCTAGGGCCTGAGCCAACTTCCACTGAAGTCTCGGCAGTGAGTCTCAGCCTTTTCCTTTGCAGCTCCCTTTTCCATACGGAGACCATACCGGAACCCCCTCCCGTCTAGCAGGAGCCCTGTTTAGCAATACAGGAAGGACAGAGTAGCCACAACACCTTGACCCCACTTGTTCATGACACCTATGGGGGTCACAATCCCCAGACTGGGAACCCCCTGCTTTACAGCATGAACTGCATCATTATGTTCAGTTCTTGAGTTCCTAAAGTGAAACTACCCTAGCTCTCCTCTAAACAGGCAGAGAAATTGTCTTGCTGTTCCTTTTAGAGACATCAGAAATAGCCTGAGAGCAAGGAGTGACTGCAGTAGTTTTGTACAGTAGTTAGGATATGCAGGTTCTTAGAACCTCTTGTTGAAATAAGCTCTCGCTGTTTGTGTCCCAGCTTGTGGGCTTTCTTGACTTGATGGAAGTTAACAAGCCAGATTTCAAAAAGAAGTATGTTTTACCACATGTCAAGATTTTCATACAAGAAATAATAACTAGAAAACAAGTAACTATAATAATTCTGTGCTTAATTGACAATAGAGCCCTGCTTGAATTAACTAGATATATGTTTAATCTGCTTTTTTAAATGATACGATTAAATGAACGTGCATTGTGAACTATTGCAGCACTTTATTCTACATTGATTCCATATTGCTCGTTTGCATTTTCCTGATCATAAATGGCCCATAACCATGTTTACTGATTCTCTTTCTGTCTCTGCAGATGGTCTGTCTGATAAGAGCTCTCTCTCTGCTCAAGAAACTCAGAACTTTGAATCAGCCCCGCAAGGGAATCCTGAACTAGAAGATGTAGAAACCAAGGCAAAGAAAGACAAAAAAAATAAAGAGAAGGAGAAGAAAAAAGGAAAGAGCAAAGCTAAAGTCAAAGAGAAGAAAAGGAAGGAAGAAAATGAAGATCCAGAGAAGAAAACGAAGAAGAAGGGTTTTGGTGCCATGTTGAGGTATGGTTCTTGTGCTTAAAACATATGCACGCACGCGCGCACACACACACACACGCACACATATTTTCCTGAAGAAGCTCATGAAAATATTCTGTGAAATCACTGATGATCTCAACAAGCAGACAAAAATGTTTGTCAGTTAAAAAGAAAGCACTATCGATTTTTATACCAAACCATTAGCTAAGGGGAAAGACCTTTAGCTGGCAAAACTTTTTGTGCCCTTGGAATTCATGTGCATTTGGTAGGAAAACTGTATGAGGCTTGAGCATAAAGAAAATATAAGGGAAAAATGCATTTGGAGGGAATGTTTGCTATTTCCAGGTATTACATTAAACTTTTGGACACTACTGGTATATTCTGGCCTGTAGGCCAACCTAGTATGGAACAAAACCTTGGTGCATAGTTTAAATGGAAGAAGTGTTTTGCTGTAACCTCAGAAATTCTACTACAAAGATGCCCCACAGATCATGCTTTTCAAAATATAGAGATTGGAACATACAAACTAGAGCTTGTTTCCTCTTGATGTCCTTGATACACCGCATAAGGAGTTTGTTTCCAAAGTGTTATGTGCAAGGACTTCACTGTTTTTCTTCCACATAATGTCAATACAACCCTATTAAATTTGTGCACACCATTTAGAAATTTTCCACGTGTTTATGGACTGCCAGGGTATGATTGTCCAAACTATACGTGCACAAGTGTATACTTAATTTGCACATACAGTTACCACAATGATTAATGAGAATAAGATAGCTGTCCATAAATGCACAGATATGCATACTATTTGAATAATTATACATGCTAACTAAGTGTGCAATTTGCACACACATTTGTGTTCATAGAGTTTAAAGAAATCTGTCTTAAAATGAATCTGTCAGGGTTTTTTTAATTAATTATAATAGTGAGTTCTTCAACAGCTCTTCTCTTTGTGTATCTTTAGTCTCATATCTGCTTTTGTGCTCCCGTTAACCCTGGAGAGCTAATAAAGCTGTGAGAATGGAAACTGGATTGCACGCTAATTTGGCAAAAATGTAATTATTCTGGCTCATGCATCACCAACAGATCTGTTGACTAAGATCCACATTCAAAATCTTTATTACTGGTGAAGATGTATGCTTGATTTCAGATCCAAGATCGAGTTTGTTCGGTTGGCAGTGTTATTGATAAACAAGAAACATGGAACCAAAGGACTCCAGTACTACTGATTCACTTTTTAGAGTATAACTTCACTTCAAGCAAAAGTAATACTGTTTTTCTAGAGAGAGATAACAACATGAAGTCTACATGTTTCATATTTTGACTACATGCATATATTATTCATCTGAACTTTTCCCACAGTTAGATTTAATTTTGATAGGGAGTCTTATCAACTGATATTTTTCATTATTACTGTTTATTATATATCCATCAAGCATGACAAAGGGACAGGACAAAGATGGAATTCCTGCCTCAAATTGTTTACAGTCTAAATTAAGACACATGGAAAATGGAGGTGACAAGATTAGATGGAACAGAAGGAGGGAAGTTTGTAGGCAAGGACAATATAATTGTGTACTCACTTGGGAAGTTTGTAGATCTTCTAAAGAGTAACTAAGGGTTTTCTTTTTGTTTTTCATTTGTTTGTGTTTTTAAAACATGATTATAATTTATATCTGTTTTAATGTTAGGGGGCTATCACTTTAAAAGCTTTCTTGAAGAGTGGATTTTGAGAAGGGACTTGGAGGAGGAGCAGGTGGAGGCATGATGGGTGGGGTCAGGAAGGATGTCCCAGTCATAGAGGGGAGCATGAAACAAGGAATGGAGATGAGCAATTTGGGCTGAGCAACGAGGGCATTTGAGGAAATAAGAGTAGGATTTAGCAAAGCACCTAAGTGACTCAGAACACGTCTTATTGACTATCAAATCAAACCTAAATGGGGGAGGGGCAAATGCAGACAGGTATGGGGGGGGGAGGCAATTGTGGATGGCCTTAAAAGCATGAACAAGGAGCTTTGGGGCACAAGTGAAAGAATTTTAAAAGGTAGCATTAGGTATCAGAGGTGATATTCACAGCAAAGTTTTGGATTGATTAGAGTGAGGAGAGTGTCAGAAGGGTCAGAAAGAAGGGGATTGAAGTAATAAAGGTTCAGGATGATCAAGGATTTTAGCAGCAGGAATGTAAAGAAAGAGGCAGATTTTTAAGATGTTACAGAAGTGAAACTGGCATGATTTAGTGGTAGAACATCTGTAGGGTAGAGAGAGAAGATGAAGATGACACAAAGGTGGTGAGTGCTACATGGAGGATGGCAGATAATAGTTAATATTTATAGCGAAAGAAGTGGTGGGAAGTTTTTTTTTTTTTTTAATAAAGAAAGTCGAGTTCGGTTTTTGACATGTTGAATTCCAGCTGGCAGAAGGAAATGTCATAGGAGTTATAAGAAATACGAGTGCAAACAAGGAAGAGAAAGTTTGGATGGAGAAAGAAACCTGGGAGTCTGCGTTATAGAGATGGTAGTTCTAGTTACAAGGTTGCCCCGAAAAAGTGTAGAGTGAGAGGAGGATGAGGGCAAAGGACGTAACCCTGTGATAGACTGATAGAGGAAGGGAGGAAGTGCCAACAGAGGAGACACTGAAGGAGCAGCTAGAAGAAGTAGGAGAACTGGCAAAGCAGAATTGTTGAAACCAAGCAAGGAAGAGGTTTTAAGAAGGGTGGTTCTGCCATGTTGACGGTCCCAGATCTAGGAAGATAACAATGGAGAAGCAGCCTTGAGATTTGATCAGGAAGAGATCATTGTTAACCATGATACAGGTCGTTTCAGAGGAATAGGAGGAGGCTAGACTGTAAAGAGAGAGATAATGACGAGCTGTTCAAGGCACAAATTAATCCATTACCTACTAGGAAAGTTACACTAGGCCGGAGTGGGCCAACTTTTTGGCCCAAGGACTACATCGGGGTTGTGAAACAGTATGGAGGGCCGGGTAAGGAAGGCTGTGCCTCCCCAAACAGACTGGCCTCCGCCTCCTCCCACTTCCCGCCCCCTGACTGCTCCCCTCAGAGCCTCCAACCCATCCAACCACCCCCTCCCAGGACCCCAACCCTATCCGCCCCCCCGGAACCCTCCCCATCCAACCCCTGTGCTCCTTGTCCCCTGACCACCTCCTCCCAGGACCGCCCCCTATCTAACCCCTCCCCCCGTTCCCTGTTCCCTGACTGCCCCGACCCCTATCCACACCCCCGACCCCTGACAGGGCTCCCCCCCAGGACTCCCACGCCTATCCAACCCCCCTGTTCTCCGTCCCCTGACTGCCCCCCCCAGAACCTCCAACCCATCCAACTGCGCCCTGTCACCTGACCGCCCCCCGGGACTCCCCGCCCCCCCCAGGACCCCTTATCCCACCCCACTGCTCCCT